GTTTTCTTAATTTCTTTCTCAGCAAATGTGTTCTTGATACATAGGGAAGCAAATTAGTTTTGTGTTAATTTTGCATTCTGCCATTTTGATGAAACCATTTTCTCTGGAGTGTTTAGGATGTCAAATACGGAAGTTTCTTAGTGATTTCTTTTACTATTTGGGTGACCTGACACCTTGCTTCCAAATAAGACTTCAAAAGTTTCATATTCTTACTTAAGAATGGCCAGCCTTAGCTTGGCTTCTTTCTAGCCAGCTCTTAGTAACTTTAAATAACTTATATACCTTTTGCCTCTGGGCTTTTGTCTTTCTCTGTTTCTCTATTTCTTTCTTTACTTCTTACTCCATGACGTGAGGTGTAGCTGGGTGGCTGGCCCGTTGAGTCCTCCTCTCCTCCTTTTTTTTTGTTTCTTGTTCTTTTCTTCCCAGATTTCTTCTCCTTTTTATCCTCTCTGTGTGCCAGCCCTGTCTATCCTTTCTCCTGCCTAGTTACTGGCCATTCATCACTTTATTAGACCAACCGGGTGTTTTAGACAGGCATAGTAACACAGCTTCAAGGGTTAAACAAATGCAATATAAAATTATGCAACACAACTTTGCATCATTAAAACAAATGTTCCTGAGCATGAATAATTGTAACACACTAAAAAACAATATTCCACAACAGAAGTGTGTTTTTTTTAAAGGGAAGAAACTTCAGCTTCTTGCTTTCCTATTTACATCCCTTGTATATGATCTTTTATCCTTTTGCTTTGGCTAAGACTTCAATCACTGCATAGCATAAAATGCTAGAGAAAGAAGATGGACATAGTGATGAACTCCTTTAATCCTAGCACTCAGGAGGCAGAGGCAAACAGAACTGTATGGTTTTGAGGTTAGCATGTTTTTTATAGTATGTTTCAGGCCAACCAGAGTTGCCTTCTGTGATAATTTGAAAGAAAATGGACCCCAAAGCGAGTGGCACTATTAGGAAATGTGGCCTTGTTGAAAAAAGCATGTCATTGTCTCTGAATGAGGCAGTCTCTGAAGGCTCTTTTCTCAAGCTTCCCTCACTGTGACATTTAGTCCATTTCCTGTTGCTTCTGAGTCAAGATGTAGGACTCTCAGGTCTAGGACCACATCTGCCTGTGCTCTGTCATACTCCCCATTCTGATGATAATGGAGTGAACCACTGAAACTGTAAGCAAGCCACTTCAACTAAATGTTTTTTATTTATGAGTTGCCATGGTCCTGGTGTCTCTTCACAGCAATAAAGAACCCTAACTATGTCATCTTTTATGATTCTGTCCCATCCTCATTCTCAGAATGGATGATATGGATGCCCTTGTCTTGTTCCTGCTTTTAGCAGAAATAGCTA